TTTAGACCCGCCGGGTAAATGGGTCGGGTCCGGGTCCTTTATTTAGACCCGACCCATTAACAGGTCTACCAACAAGTGGTATCAGAGCGAGGTTGAGTTTCCATACACAGTTTTCTCATTTTTCAGATAAATTTCTACAGGTTAGAAAATCGTGATTTTTCAAGTTGATCGGAATCACGGTCTTATCATACCGTTAGATTCGTCTCGTCGAGATGAGAAATCTGGTAATTTTGGGGAATTTTTTGGCCATCAGAAGAGTCTGTACGCGCCGCCCAAACGCCGTTTGGAAACTGCCTGTGTCATCACGCAGTCCAGAGGAAGAAGATAAGACACATCAGTGCCACGTCAGCAACACGTCAGCACCAGCTGTGTCCACATCACCAGCCTGGGTGTCAGCACATTGGGTTGCTGCCTGAATCGGACCGAACCGGTTCGTAGTTGTGGAGGCCGGTTCACCCATTTCCAGACCGGTTTTGGACGAGGTCAGACCGGGTTCCTAGCATTTTCGGCCATTCCGGATCCAACGGTGAGCTCCGTTTGTCCAAATTCGGCTCTGAAAATAAGGTACGAGATATTTTGAGCGTTTTATTATGGATAAATCATCATCGGACACCATGATTGCGCTCACTTCCACAAATTACAATATGTGGAAGCCTCGAATGGAGGATTTCCTAAATTTGAGGGATTTAGCCGATCCTCTTGATAATAATGGCGTGAAACTGGATAAAAAGACGGATGAAGAATGGACAAAAATGAATCGAAAAACTGTCGCACAAATTCGACAGTGGATAGATCATAGTGTGTTCCACCATGTTGCGCAAAAACTAAGTGCTTACACACTATGGGAGAAGCTTGGTAGCATGTATCAAGCAAAAACCGCCCGAAATAAGACGTTACTAATGAGGAGATTAGTAAACCACAAGTTACGAGGAGGTATTTTGGTGTCAGAACACACCAATCAATTCCAGGATCTTGTGAATCAGTTGAGCACCACCGGATGGGTTCTCAAAGATGAAGAGCAGGCGATACTACTCTTGAGCTCTCTACCTGACAGCTGGGAGACTCTTGTTGTCACTCTCAGCAATTCTGCTCCCAGTGGCAAGGTGACTATGCAGATGGTCAAAGATGCCCTTATGAATGAAGAATCCCGAAGAAAAGAAGCCGAGACTGAACAATCATATGCCTTCGTGTCAGAAACCAGCAGACGAGGGGGAGGCAGAACTGGAGGAAGAAGTCGAGGTCGAGGTAGAGGCCAAGGTCAAAACAGAGGAAACTCTCAAGTTCGCGGCAAATCACAAGAGAGAGGTATGTCCTATGAAAACAATACTTGGTTTGAAGGATATTGCAATTACTACAGTAAATATGGGCATAGAAAAAGAGATTGTAGAAAGTTTCTACGAGAGCAACCACAGACGAGTCAAAATACTAGCCAAGAAGATGGTGAGACCATGGTTAGTTTGTCATCAAACGTGTGTCTTGTTACACAGGGTGAACAAGAATGTTTACACGTAGGTACTCATGATGTTGAGTGGGTGATTGATCCAGCCGCATCATTTCACACCATTCCACACCAGAACTTATTCACATCTTATAAGTTCGGAGACTTTGGAGCTGTGAAGATGGGAAACACAAGTTTCTCGAAGATTGTTAGCATTGGTGATGTGCACATAACAACCAATGTAGGATGCGCACTTGTGTTGAAAGATGTTCGACACGTTTCGGATCTTAGATTGAATCTTATCTCCGGTACAGCTCTGGATCAACAAGGATATCTTAACCGATTCAAAGAAGGTACGCGGAAGTTATCCAACAGTTCCTTGGTTGTTGCAAGAGGCCATATTTGTGGTACTCTTTATAAAACTCACGCAAAGTTGTGTCATCCAAGTCTTAATGCCGTTGAAGAAAAGATATCACCAAACTTGTGGCATCAAAGGCTAGGCCACTTGAGCGTGAAGGGATTGACAACTCTTGCTAAGAAGGAAAGCATTTCCATGGGCCAAGGTGTTGCCCTAGATCCATGTGAGCACTGTCTATTCGGGAAACAACACAGGGTTTCCTTCAGTTCTACCGGGAAGAAACATTCAGAGTTACTCAGTCTTGTCCACTCTGATGTATGTGGACCCATTGAAGAGGACTCACTTGGAGGAAGCAAATATTTCGTGACATTCATTGATGATGCATCACGAAAGGTATGGGCTTACTGTTTGAAGAGTAAGGATCAAGTGTTTGATTGCTTCAAATTATTTCATGCCATGGTAGAAAGAGAAACAGGGAAGAAGCTGAAGTGTCTACGTTCAGACAATGGAGGAGAGTACACTTCACGGGAGTTCTCAGCATATTGCGCTGCGTATGGAATCAAACATGAGAAAACGGTTCCACGAACTCCACATCACAATGGTGTAGCCGAAAGAATGAATCGAACCATTGTGGAGAAAGTTCGTTGCATGTTGAGTATGGCTAAACTACCTAAGCCATTCTGGGGTGAAGCTGTGCTGACAGCTTGTTATCTTATAAACAGGTCACCTTCTGTTCCTTTAAACTTTGAAGTGCCAGAGAAGAAATGGTCAGGAAGAGATGTTTCTTACTCTCACTTGAAAGTGTTCGGGTGCAAGGCATTTGCACATGTGTCCAAGGAGTTGAGACAGAATCTTGATCTCAAGTCAAATCCATGTATCTTCATCGGCTTTGGTGATGAAGAATCCGGATACCGGTTGTGGGATCTCAAATTGAAGAAAGTTGTACGAAGCAGAGATGTTGTATTTCATGAAAACGAGTTTCATGGGTGTGCTCCAATAATCCGCCAACAACATACTCCAGAAGACGAAGTGCTTGTATCATCAAACATTCCTCTCAGCAACGAGGAGATATATGATACTACTGAACAAGAGAGTGATGGTTCAGTAGGTGATGATGATGCTCACAGTGATGATATTCCTCAGCAGGGGGAGCCTTCATCTGAAGACGAAGCTGAAGGTACTCATGTTCGACGTTCTATGCGAGACATAGTTCCACAGAGAAAGTATTCCACATCCGAATGGATACTTGTTGCCAGCGGGGGGGGGGGGGGGGGGGGGGGGGGCATCGCAGGAATGAGAGAAACAAAGAAAAAGGTGGAGGGGGAGATTTGTAGAGATATTCCACCTTCTTTCTTGGAAGTTGCCAAGAGACACCTTAACATGGAGGCACCTTCTTGGAAAGAGCTCTCCAACAAATAGGTGTGGGATAAATGCTTCTGATCTAAATCTTTCTGATCTTATCTGATCTGAATCTTTCTGATGTGGTCTGAATGATTCTGATCTGATCTGATCTGATCTGAATCTTTCTGATCTGATCTGAATTTTTCTGATCTGATCTGATCTGATCTGAATAAAATAAGAATAAGCAATAAGTAATAAGAATAAGACGAACAGAACATCACCTTACTCATTTTTCTTTAATAGTTAATTTTGCTTTACAGAATAATTAATATTGTAGGTCCCATACTCTAGCAAATATCAATGTTGTAAATCTCTAATACAGAGTTGTAGTTAGAGTGCTTAGTATTTTAAGGTAAATGTCGTCATTCGTGATTTATGTATTGTGATATTAGAGTTTATCTCAACTTTATTAATTATGTAATATAAAATTGATAAATTGTGTGGAGTTCTGAGGTACGGCTAAACTTTAATTTTACATAAAATAATAGAAAAATGGCATAATTTGACATTAGTATAATATGATACTGAATAGATTTAAGTCTTAGATCGAATTGGATTGAATCATTTCAATAATAATGGTATAGATACCACAAAATATTGGACCGTCCCTAACCACAAATTAGTAAACACTTAGCACAAGGATTTGTTTTTGGACAAAAAAAGTAAAATTCCTATCATTCTATCTTGACTCCGTTCCGGCCATCCATCTAGGGCTAGCAATATCACCCGCGGATATCTGGTCAACCCGAACCGAAAATGTGGATAAAAACCCGAAAAAGTATGAATGAAAAATGGATGATGGGTGGATTGAAAGACGGGTTGGATCGGGTGTGGATGAACACTCATCCGATCCATCACCCGACCCGTCACTCGCTTCATCCATCCACCCGCTAACCCGCATACAAAAATAAATATATATTATATTATATTATATTATATTATATTATATTATATTATATTATATTATATTATATTATATTATATTATATTATATTATATTATATTATATTATATTATATTATATTATATTATATTATATTATATTATATTATATTATATTATATTATATTATATTATATTATATTATATTATATTATATTATATTATATTATATTATATTATATTATATTATATTATATTATATTATATTATATTATATTATATTATATTATATTATATTATATTATATTATATTATATTATATTATATTATATTATATTATATTATATTATATTATATTATATTATATTATATTATATTATATTATATTATATTATATTATATTATATTATATTATATTATATTATATTATATTATATTATATTATATTATATTATATTATGTTTAATAATATACGGACTATATAATAATTAATATTATTATATTGCGGAGTAATAAATATGTATTTGTTAATGAAGAAGACACATATCTATGAATTGGTGAAATAAAGACATTTGAAGAGTTCAAGAAGTGGCAGTTGAACTCCAAAAATAGTTTGGTGTCGTTGTAGAAATGTAGAGTTTGACAGTTTGAAAAAGTTTTATGTATATTTTGTTTGACAATCACTTCTTTGTTTATTGTGAGTGAATTAATTATTTTAATATTCTTAATTGTTCAAGTTTTTGTTGTTATTATTGAATGAATTTTAAATTTTTGGTTTTTAATTATCATAATTTCTATTTACAATTTATTTGTTTTGTCATTCAAGTTAGACCATTTATATTCATCCGTTCGGGATGATGAATGAATTAGATGTAGATGTAATTTTTATGTATAATGGACGAAAAATAAACTGGTGTAATTTTTGGTTTTTCATGTATAAATCCCACCTGTCGCCACCCCTGCATCCGAGTCAAAAAACTCCCACAATTTTCTTTCCTTGTAACCAATATTCTGAATTTCCATGGCCAGCGTAGATGAAAAGGAGGATGTGTATTCTGTGTGGGGCCTCCCGCCGGAAGATGTGACGGCAAGGATGAAGAAGCTCATGGAGGGTATCAGATCAGAATTCGGCGGGGCCCAGTTCGAGCCGCACGTGACCGTTGTCGGTGGTATGAGGCTGACGGAGAGGGAGGCACGTGATAAGTTCCGGAAGGCCTGCGTGGGACTCAAGCCGTATGGCGCGACGGTTTCAAAGGTGGCCACTGGGCCATTCTTTTATCAGTGTGTTTTTCTTCTACTGCATCCGACGCCCGAGGTGAATGAATCTTCTGTTCCTTCATTCTCTACGTCTTCGATCGTGCATTTCAATCCAATAAATAAGTTCAATTTCTAGTATTTTGCAAGTTTCTGCAATACTTCATTAAGATATAAAGTCAAGACCTAATGAAAATGGTTTGTGGCATCAATTTGAAGGTGGAACAATGTTGAGCTCAGCAGTGCAATGGCTTGAGGAATAAGCACATAAAAATTGAATTTTTCCGTCAAGTGTTTGATTCTGTTATCCAAATTATAGTTTCCATGCCATCTATTCTGTAAGTGTGAAGAAACACTACATTCTCAAATCATTTTTAACTTACGGCACCCGAAGAACACATTAATAACCCCCTGTCATATCAAAAGTTTCGAATTTGAAGTGCTGTAACATGTTAAAGCTTCTACTTAATAATAGGAACTGAAGGCGGTTCGATATGTTCATTCTTATGTGACTGAAGATAGAACGGCTCACTCTCGCCTAGGATGATAGACCAGAGTTTCATGCAGTGAATTAGAGAAAGCCGAGAGTTTGATGCAAGAAAAATTACAAGACTATCATTTATATTCAATTGCATTGTTGTTTTGCCTTGGTCCCCTTTGGGGTCGTGAATAGACATATGAAATTGGAGTTAAAAAAGATATGTAGTATAAAAAAAGATAAGATAAAAAAAGATAAAAACGTATGAAATTCGAACAATATCTAAGCCTTGCCCACTCGACGTTTCTCTCTTCCAAAAAGCTTCAACCAGTATGCCATCTGGGTCTACTCCTTTCTTCCGTCCGATCTTTTTAGGAGCCTCGTTAACTTCTATCGTTTGGATCTTTCTCATAAACTCCCAATTTAAGTACAATCTGGTATAATAAGATCATCAATATCTCACGTTGTATTCCCATTGATACAATGTATCAAAGTACCCTTTAATTGACATTCTTCACACACCTAACTTTTTCTATATCTTCAGTCTTATGCTCACGAAGACAAGCAAGTCTATAAATATCTTTTTCCCTTGTGCTTCTTTCACGGCTTTCTTAGCTGTTCATTTAACCTCCATGTACTCCTCTTTGTTCTCATCACTCCAACTTTTCCCTAGATTTTTGTAACATTCCTTTTGATCCTTATGACTTGTTTCTCTCATAATTCCTTAAAGGTGTATCTTTTTGTGGTGACAGACATCCTTTAGATTCTCCAAGTATCTCATTTGCAACTTTGTTAATGATCTGCTCCATGGATGACCGTACTTCCTCCATATGTGTCATTATCAATACACCATACGTCTCTACCAAACATTTTGTAATTAATAAGGAAAGTCATTCACTATCATAATTGAGAATTTTTTGGTGATTCTAAATTAAATAAAATAAGAAAGTCTTTGGAATAAATCATCCTGATCTTATGTCGCCACTTATCCACTCTCCAAAGTTAGTCTTCAAGAATTACAGCACATTTGGGCTGCCTCGACTCCTTATTGTGAGATATAGTTACATTTATTATATTAAGAATATCATAGATAACTGCCAGATATATCAACCTTTAAGTGCTTTACATTGAGAGCTCAATCTTGTTCACTGATAAGACTAAGCAAGGTTTATTTTTTTCCTTAAGAATTAATTGGTTCCAGAATGAGTTTCTTGAAGGCTTTTGTTTGTTGAGCCGTTCTAGCTTTAAAGGCCTAACCTCAACTTCTTGTGTCGTTGGCAAAGAGTTTGAGCCACCCGAAAACAGTTAGGTGTTTGAACTTCACCCTGGGCAATATTTTTGAGGTTCTATCCATTTTTAATTGTGTACTGAGTTGTGTTAACCTCACCAAAATCAATATTTGTCCTTTACAAAATCGATTTTATAACAACAACATGCACATGTGACAGAACATGGCCCTCTCTAGACCACATTGATGGTAAGGTGGGAAAAAGGAAGGTGGCTACCTTACATCTTACCCTCTCTTATGAGGTCACTAATCTTTTTGCATCCAGATATTTGGTCTATGTGTGTGTGCAGAGTGAAAGCCCATGTGACTTACTGTTGTTCCTCTCAGGTTGTGGAGACCAGTGACCACTGCTGCAGTCACTTTGGTTATCAGAGACCATCAGGTAACACACATGTCCGTAAACAACTTCATTTTCAGGAATAATTCATGAGCTTAATTTGATGTTTTGCAGCATACATGCCGCACGTAAGTCTCCTTTATGCTGATATCACTGACGAGGAAAAGAAGAGTGTTGAAGAGAGAGCTTATGCTCTCGATGAGACCATTGGCAGCTTGGAATTCCCAATAGATCGCCTCGCTCTATACAAGTCAGATACGGAAGACAAAAGCCTCAAATCCTGGGTGAAGGTTGATGAGTGCAACCTAATTTCGCACTGATACATACCATGTTTCTCTATGTGCAAGAGATAGTTTCCTTTCTTGTCTGTTTCTCTTGGTGGTCTGAGGATACGTGTAGGGTTTTTTACAAGAATATTACTAAAATAAAATTTATTTACATAAATATGACTATTCATTACTACAACGTAGTGTTGTGGTAACTAAAGTTCAAACTTGAACATGAATTACTATGATTTCATTACTACTCCAGTAACTAATCATATTTTTGTAAATCAGCTTTATTTTGGTCATACCAATTATTTCTTGTGATTTTTCTTTTTTAGTTTGCCATGTTGACGTTCTTTACGCTTTCCTTCCCATTAAATTTGGGATTGGGATTGAACGTCAAAGTACAGATGTGCCAAGTAGTAGACTAGCAAAGAATATGGGGAAAATTCCGAGTTATCTTAATTTCCATGCTGCTTCTCTGTTCCGAATTTAATGGGACAAACATAGTTGAATGACAAGAGTACTAAATAACACTTCGCTTTTGGTTGCACTCTCTATTAGCCACCTCGACTCCTCTGTTCAAATTATTGTATCCAGCTTTATACTTAAATTATCTCATTTTAGTTTAAGTGATGTCATTTTTGTATACAACGACAATATCCAAGCCACGTGGGTAATAGGTGCATCATTCAGTATTTTTGTCTTTTTTGTATACAAAGACAATATTCAAGCAAAGAAATTATCTCATTTTCGTATACTTATTTAGCAAGTGCATCACTTTGGCATAGACTGGGCTGGGTCCTAGTCGGGTTCCAAGTCGGAACTGGGTGGGCTCCAGACCCTAAATGATCAAGGCCGGTATTGGGTCGGGTCGGGCTTTGGCCGGGTCGGGCCGACCCATCCTAGCCCAAGGACCTCAAACTCATTTTTTTTGAATTTTTGTCCATTGGCCCGGGCCGGGCTAGTAAATTCCAATCCAGTAGCCCGCCTATTTATTCCTACGGATCGGGTCTGCGTCTGGTCCCGGGTCTCGGTCAACTAGGCCAGGCCGGGTTGGGACTACACACTACCGAGCCGTGTTGGATTCGAGCGGGCTGACCCGTCCCAGTCCATCCCTAGCAGCACTCGGTATTCTATCCACATGATCAAACCACCGCAATTGTGAGTCTTGCACCTTTTTATCAAGTTCGTAGATGGTGCTGTGTAAACAGTCCCTTTGCACAAGGCCTCTAAAATATTACGCCCGCTTTCTGTAAAATATATATACTTCGTAGTATATATGTATGGAGAAATAATCTCCTCAGATGGTCTGCAAGGGAACTTGAGCCCATTTGAGGCTCTTCCCGATAGAATTATTTGATAAAATTACATTAGCATGTTCTTCATTTAGTTTAGATTATCTGCACAAAATTTCAGCTTAAAATTCGATCGGGAAATTAGTTAAATAAATATTGAAACATATTGCGCTTTATGTATATATATATAAAGCGCAGTATCTTTCTATAATTTATTTAACTGACTTTCCAATTGAATTTTAATTTGAAATTTTGTGAGCGTATAAACTAAACGTCGTGAACAACATGATCAAAACAATTTATCAAAAAATTCCACTGGTAAAGGCCCCAAATATGGTGTTGGTCGAATGGACGTCCCCGTTAGGCGGTTTGCACCAGATCTTTATATAAAGTAATTGGAAATACCTATAAATGAAAGGGCCGGTCGGTTCAATTGAAACAAAAGCAAGCGAATGATTAAATAACCCTTCCAGTTTCCATATTAAATTAAATGAAAATTAGAAGTTAAATAATCCTTCCAATTTCCGAATCAAGTCGGCAACTTGGCTTTTGCACGATTTATCAGTTTCTCGTTCTTGATTTCTCACATTCGGTACATATTAGGGTTATTCTATTTGTGATTCTTTTTGGAAATAGTTGATTACTTGATTTGCCCGAACGATCTAACTCTTCTGGTCATCCAATCAAAGGTAAAATATTCACTTTTTCTTATCATATTTTGATTCGTTATTTTTTATTTGAGATTTTTTATACTGATTTTATTTGTTTTAGTTCGAAAATGTGATCATCTCTCAATATCACATTTGGTTTTTTTTTTGGGGTATTTTAAAGGTGGATTTTGATATTGTGTTGATTAAATATAAGGCTTATTTTTTGTAATTTGCACCGGGGTCTCCTAATCTATTGAGCCCTATTTTTTTGTATGTCTACACATCCACCGCAACATGTGTATATTGTCACATTCATCTTTTAAGTGTGATATTGTTTCACCACCCAACACTCTGTGTCATACAATAATGCATGCCTAATTGCTTTCCGATAAAATTTCCCCTAAAATCTAGTCAGCATACCTCGGTCAGGTAGAGTTCCCGACGGCTCTTCAACTTCATCCAGTGTTCTGATTCTACGAGATACATCTTCATCTATTGCATTACCCTTCTGAATTATGGGGCCAAAGTAAAAAAAAATGTATAACAGACCGTAATTCCTTGCCATCAAGGGTTACAGTATGTTATACCTACCTAATGGGCACTACCCTTCTAATCCCACTATTATAACTACTTCTACTTCCACCAAACTTGCAATCCATATACTTATCTTTGTCTTGCTTTGACTCAATCTACCTAATGGGCTTGTGCCTTTATCATCAGTCATGGACCCGGGCCGGGCCGGTTCCGGTTCCGGGCCGGGCCCGGCCGGGCTTTTTTTTTGGGAAGGAAGGCCCGGGACCGGCCCGGGTAGCCACCGGGTCCGGTCCGGGCCGGGCCGGGCCTCCGGTTCGGTTATAATTTTTTTTTTTTTGCTTTCCTAACCCCCCCCCACTCACCCCCACACCCCCCCAAACCCCCAAACCCCTCCTAACCATCAAGCCCAACTTGGCTAACCCCAAAAAAAGAAAAAAAAATTAAAAAAAAATTAATTCGGCCCGGGCCCGACCCGGCCGGGCCGGTTCGCCAAATTCAAGGCCCGAGCCCGGACCCGGACACCCCACCGGGCCTAGGCCCGACCCGGCCCCGGACCCGAGAACCGGGCCGGTTCCGGGCTCGCACAGTGGCGGGCCGGGCCGGTCCCGGGCCGGGCGGCCCGAACCGGGTCCATGCCTATTTATCATGATGACCAAGTAACAAAGTGAATTCTTTCTCCTTTTTAAGGTATGTTTGGGAGTTTGAAGGGAATGTGAGGAGAAGATTTTGAAGGTTAGTCATTAAAAGGGAAGAAAAGGGGAATGAGAGGAAATCGTTCTTCTTTTCAGGGAGTAACAAATTTAAAAAAATAGAGTTTATGGAGGAATTATAATTAAAATCACTTCAGATATATATCGAATTAAAATAGTTGAACTTATACCCTATAGTATTTATATTAAATTGAGCTAAAGTTATCATTTAATTAGCTAGGCTTGGAAAAATCTCAATTTGGGAGAACTTAAACATTGAGCATTTGAAGAGTTTTTGTGGTTCAAAAGAACCCTCCGGAATCATCCCTTCCAATTTTTTTAAACTCCCAAACAAGGAGAGGTGACAAACCCTCTTAATCCTTTCCATCCCCTCCAAAACATAACTCCCAAACATACCTTTAGGCCATGTTTGGTTGGAGGTTTTGGAAGGGAGGGGGAGAAAGTGAGCGATTTGTGTGTGTTTGGTTGAAGGAAATAGGTGGAAGGGGAGGAAAGTGGAAGACTTCCAAAATCCTCCACTTCCTCCCATTCTAAACCTCCCAAATCGGGGTATTTCGGAGGAAACATGTTGATAATCACAAAGTCACAAATTATCCATCTCCTACGTGAATGGACAAAACGTTATAATATTAAAAAAAAAGTAAAAAAAAAATAAAAAGTTTTGAAAAATTTAAAAAATTAAAAATTTTAAATATTAAAAAAATAAAAATAAAAACGATAAAAATTAAAAACTTACAAAAAATTAAAAAATAAAAAATTACAAAATTTAAAAGTTAATAATTAAAAAATAAAAAATAAAAAATAAAAAATTACGGAGTATAAATTAAAAAAAGCAAAAAATCAAAAAAAAAAATATTATGACTCACGACCATAGGGGCAATATTCACAATAGTTAGAGATGTATCTAGTTTTTTAATTAAGCTATCAAATAAAGGTAAATTGGGAAAATATTCTCATTAAATCTTTTCTCCTATTTCCTCCAACCAAACACAAAATTTTATCAAAATCCTTCATCTCCCTTCCCTTCCCTTCCCTTCCATCCTTGACTCTCCCCTTCCCTCCCCTCCTTTGAACCAAACAAGGCCTTAGAGTTCTAGCAAGTGAGCAATATTAACTTTTATGTTTCTCATATTCATCAATCAAGATAGATCTGTTATAAGATCTTAAATTAATCACAATGAACAAAACTGGATAAACATATCACTGGAAAGAAAGTGTCTACATAAGAATAAAGAACTGCAGAGTATTAATAATGGAGAGTATTCTGTCATTTCAACAAAAAATTTCATATGTACGTAGGGATGGACCCGGGCCGGGCCGGTTCCGGTTCCGGGCCGGGCCCGGGCGGGCTTTTTTTCGGGTTACATGGGCCCGGAACCGGCCCGGGTTGATACCGGGTCCGGGCCTAACCGGGCCAGGCCGGGCCCGGTTCAATGTTTTTTTTTTTTTTTTTTTTTGACTTTCTTGTTATCTCCCTACCCCCCCCCCCCCCTCACCCCCACGCCCCAAACCTCCCTAAAACACCCAGCCCTACCCTAGGAAAAGAAAAAAAATTGAAAAAACCAAAAAAAAAAAAAAAAATGAACCGGGCCCGGCCCGAACCGCCCGGGCCGGTTCAACAAAAACAGGGCCCGGAACCGGCCCGCCCGACCCGCCAAAACGGGCTAAAAGCCCGGAACCGGCCAACCGGGCCCGCACAGTAGCGGGCCGGTCCGGTTCCGGGCCGGTTCGGCCCGGCCCAGTCCATCCCTATATGTACGTAGCTTTTGTATTATTAAGGGGAAAAAGAGATAAAAATGATCCATCACAAATCACAATGTTTCATCCTAGCGCGCCAAAGCTGGACTTGAGCCAGTCTACAGCTTGCGTTATGTGAACAATAGGCAACAAGGTGTGCTAAATCCAAACGTCAATGCAGCGAGATTGGGACTTTATTCTTTCCTCCATCGAACAAATTGTTATAAAGTTTGCACTAGAAAGAACAAAACCTTGAAATTTCAAGTGCCCCCATAGAACCAACATATTCTCTACATCTAAAGATGCAACACACAGCTCATAACAAAAGTTTTGACCATAA